AGCGATGTTAATAACAAAAAATTTAGTTTCAGCTCCATCTTGGGTCAACATCAAGGCAAACCCCGTGATTCACTCACGCCTCATCGTATTTACACTCTCTTATTCGAGAAAAGTGATACAGAATGAGAGTTTAGTGGATTTGACACCAATATGGCCACTAATGGTCAAGGAATTAGTGAAAATACTGATGATAACCCAGATGACACTCAGCCCATCACTTCTGGTGTGGACAGTGTGGCCATACCAGACCCTCAGCCCAGCACCTCTAGGGTGCCCAGTGTTACTACCCAAAGGCAACTATTCAAGAGGAAATTATCATTTTCCTGCAGTTTTGGTGATGACAAAAGTGAAATTGATATAAGTGATGAAGAGATCAATTTTATGCACTTAGAGGATTCGCCGAGTGATAGTGATATTCATTATTCCCAGTGAAACATAATTTTTAGGCATCGTTGTCTACGTTCAGTCAGTGTGCCATATGCAGTCTGCAAGGGTCGTGGGAGGTCATGATCGAAAACCCCAGCCACTGATAGTGATGGTGATCATGAAGGAGAATATGTGGGGATGGAGGAAGAGGAAGTGGTGCTGGCGGGTGGCGTGGTGCTGGCGGGTGGCATGGTGCCTGGGCCGCATGGCGCAGTGGGTGGACAAAGGACCGCCTGGCACCCCCCAACCATGTGCTGCCTCCACTCCCATCCCTCCTCCTGCTCCCCCACGCCCCATACCACAGGTCCACTCTGCACCATGTGACCGTGAATAGAACCGAACAGAAAGTACACCATTCGTGCCACATCCTTGCAATTTTAATGCCAGTGAAAGTGGCATTCTGCCAGAATGTCCCATCACAAATGAGTCTACAGAGTTAGACTATTTCCAACTATACTTTGATGAGCCTATAATGAACTTGATTATCATGCAGATCAACAGTTATTACTGCTGAATCGTCGCAGGTGCACAGGTGAAGAGGTACAACTGTGGCTGAAATGTATTTATTCCTTGGCACTGTCATGCTTATGCCACATACATATAAGCACAATATAACACAGTACTGGTCCACAGACTACTACATCAGTACTCCAGTCTTCCATGACCTCCTTTCCTGCAACAAATTCACTCTGTTGCTATGAATGTTGCACTTCTCATACAGGAATATGCCCAACAGAAATGACCTATACAAAGTCCAGGAAGTGTTTATGTATCTTAAGCAAAAGTTCAGTGCCTATTTTTACCCATTCAAGAACATTGTTGTTGACGAGTCCTTGATTCTGCTCAAGGGATGACTGTCATTCAAACAATATATACCAAGCAAATGTAATTGCTTTGGTATAAAACTCTTTGTTATGTGTGACTGTGAGATTGGTATTGTGTTGGATGTCATTATGTACACAGGGAAAAATACACTCGACGATACCAGGTGGATGTTGGGCATTTCTGGTATGTTGTTTGCAAGATGATGGAGCTGACGATACCAGGTGGATGTTGGGCATTTCTGGTACGTTGTTTGCAAGATGATGGAGCTATACCTTGGCAAGGGTCATACAATGTACACAGACAACTGTATACAAGCCGTATGCTCGTTAATTTCCTCTGTGTGAACAATACTGAAATATGTGGAACAGTGAGAAGAAACAGAAAACACATGCCAAGGATCACTGGAGGCAATGCTGTAGGTGCAGTGCAAGCAACACATGGCAATGACATCATGGCACTGACGTGGCATGACAAACTGGAAGTGACATTGCTGTCAACCATCCACAGAAACGAAATGGTACAGAGTGAACAGGCACACCAATGAATGTATTGTAAAGCCAGCTGCTGTCATCGACTATACCAACAATATGCAACTAGTCGACAAGTGTGACATGCAAATAGGGTACGTTGATTGTGTGTGTGTAGGAGTCGCAAATGGTATATGAAAGTGTTTTTCCACCTTGTAGACATTGCAATGCTCAATGCCTTCAACATATACGAAATAAAGACTGGGAAGCGACAACGCTATGTGGAATTCACCCTCGGTGTCATAAAGCAGATAGTAAAAAAGCATGGTACCACACCTGTACCTGCCCCTCAACAGCTACCTGTCCCCCAGCCACAACTAGAGGGGGAAGTGTCAGACCAAATAATCCCTAACTGTCACTGCCTCATACAGATACTGTCTACCCCAAAGAAGTATTCTCAGAAAAAGTGTGTTGTGTGTGCTAACACTACAAAGCAACCCCAAGTGCGAAAAAACACGATTCATATTTCATATGTCAGGCGCGTATAACAGGAAGGGCACTGACAGGGAGGCAAGGCAACAACGAGTCATGGTACAGGATGAGGTATCACAGTGGGCACCTGTGATGAGTGGGGTCCCACAGGGGTTGGTCCTAAGACCAGTGCTATTTTTGGTATATGTGAATGACATGATGGAAGGGATAGACTCAGAGGTGTCCCTGTTTGCAGATGATGTGAGGTTAATGAGGAGAATTAAATCAGATGAGGATCAGGCAGGACTTCAAAGAGACCTGGACAGGCTGGACACGTGGTCCAGCAACTGGCTTCTTGAATTCAACCCTGCCAAATGTAAAGTCATGAAGATCGGAGAAGGGCAAAGAAGACTGCAGACAGAGTATAGGCTAGGTGGCCAAAGACTGCAAACCTTGCTCAAGGAGAAAGATCTTGGTTGTCCATAACACCGAGCATGTCTCTGGAGGCACACATCAACCAGATAGCTGCTGCAGCATATGGGCACCTGGCAAACCTGAGAATAGCGTTCCAATACCTTAGTAAGGAATCGTTCAAGACACTGTACACTGTGTACATCAGGCCCATACTGGAGTATGCAGCACCAGTTTGGAGCGCACACCTGGTCAAACACGTCAAGAAATTAGAGAAAGTGCAAAGGTTTGCAACAAGGCTAGTTTTGGAGCTCGGATATGTCCTACGAAGAAAGGTTGGGGAAATCGGACTGACGGCACTGGAGGACAGGAGGGTCAGGGGAGACATGATAACGACATACAAAATACTGCGTGGAAGATAAGGTGGACAGAGACAGGTTGTTCCAGAGAGGGGACACAGAAACAAGGGGTCACAATTGGAAGCTGAAGACTCAGACGAGTCAGAGGGATGTTAGGAAGTATTTCTTCAGTCACAGAGTCATCAGGAAGTGGAATAGCCTAGCAAGTGATGTAGTGGAGGCAGGACCCATACATAGCTTTAAGATGAGGTATGACAAAGCTCAGGAAGCAGAGAGAGGGCCTAGTAGCGATCAGTGAAGAGGCGGGGCCAGGAGCCGAGTCTTGACCCCTGCAACCACAATTAGGCGAGTCAGCAATGTGGGGTGGCACTCTGTATGAATCCATGCTTCATGAAGTATTATACAATGGTGGAGTTCTAGAAACATAAATGGAACCTGTAAATACCTTGTACAGTGGACCCCCACCTTACGATATTAATCCGTTCCTGAGAGCTCATCCTAAGACGAAATTATCGTAAGGGGAATTAATTTTCCCCATAAGAAATAATGGAAATCAAATTAATCCGTGCAAGATACCCCAAAGTATGAAAAAAAAAATTTTACCAAATGAAATATTAATTTTAATACACACAAACTGAAGAAGACATGCACAATTACTACTCTACTAAGAATAGAATACATGACACTTACCTTTATTGAAGATCTGGTGATGATTGATGGGATGGGAGGAGGGGAGAGTGTGGAAGTTGTTATTGTTTAGAAGGGGAATCCCCTTCCATTAGGACTTGACGTAGCAAGTCCTTTTCCGGGGTTACTTCCCTTCATTTAATGCCACTAGGACCAGCTTGAGAGTCACTGGACCTCTGTCGCACAAAAAATCTGTCCACAGAGGTCTGTACCTCCCGTTCCTTTAAGATTTGCCTAAAATGGGCCACAACATTGTCATGGTAATAGTTGCCAGCACGGCTTGCAATAGCTGTGTTAGGGTGATTTTCATCCATAAAGGTTTGCACTTCAACCCACTTTGCACACATTTCCTTAATCTTTGAAGTAGGCACAATGGATTCCACAACTGGCATAGGCTTCTCAGGGTTAGCCCCAAACCCTTCAAAATCTTTCTTAATTTCCATACTAATTCTCACCCTTTTTACCATAGAGTTGGCACTAGAAGCTTTCTTGGGGCCCATGGTAACTTATTTTGCAGTTACAAGCGCAAAAAACACTGGGATAAGGTGAAATGTACCGAATGTATGCGTGGATGTGACCGCACTGGCTGGCTTGTAAACACTGGCACCCACGGGGCAGCTGAGGCCAGACGTGGGACGCGTCCTGGACGAATCATGTAAGGCGAGTTTTTTATCGTGAGGCGAGGCAAAATTTTTGCGTTCAAATGCTTCGTATGGCGGATTTAACGTAAGGCGATGGGTCTACTGTATATATTTGTAGACAACAGTATGTGATTGAACCAAGTGTACAAATTCATCAATCAATGTGAACATGTGTGTTTGTGACAGTATGATTACTAATTTAGTACCAAACATTTGTGTCTCAACAACAATTTGCTATGAAATCAAAAGATCTGCAACAAAACATAATTATAACATAAAATCTACAAAAATTACAAAAGAATTGAAAAAAAAAAAAAAAAAAAAAAAAAAAACGATAAATCTTTAACATTCCTGCAAACGGCAGCACTCCATGTTGCCGTCACCTGAGCATTCAGCGCCAACTTCACGGGCTTATATCTCAGTAACTACTGACCCCCCAAAAAATTTTTTATCTCTTAATGTATAAAATAATGCCTCTTCATTTAAAAAAAAATATGCTTCTTTTTTTCAAAATATTCGGAGTGCTGGGAGAGAAAATGTAGATCTACATTTGGACAGTTTAAAGGGTAATTGTAATTTCTATGCATTTCAAGCAAGACAGTTATTGAATGAATGATGGTGAATGCATTTCCTTTCTTTGGGACACCCTGCCTTTGTAAAAGATGGTAAGTGAAGTAAAAAATAAAGAAAAAGAAAAAGAAAAATTGTCTCACCTAACTGCTGTGTAGACACCAACAGACATATCCACCCCAGGAGCTAAGGTAAACATGACCCTGCCAGTGGTGCGCTGTTTGTGATCAAGTCGTCTCATTCTCTCCATCAGTTCCTCAAATCGACTTGTGGGATCTGCTAGAGTAATCTTTTCTTGAGAGTCCTCATCGTCTTCATCTTCATCAGGTATTATCAAGTCCTATTGAAGATACAACAGTTGTAAACAACTTTTATTGCCAATAAGAAGAAACATTTACCAAAAGAACATATATAGTATGTAACTGCCTCAGTACTTTCAAAGTCACCAACTTTGAAAACAAATTTCAAAATCTTACGTCTAAATCCAAAAAATTATATTTTGCATTTATAAAGAACTCTCCTTGTTCATGTATCCTATCTCTAATTTTTTTTTAACACACCATCTCCCACCATGGCAGGGTGACCCAAAAAAGAAGAAACATTTTCACCATTACTCACTCCATCATTGTCTTGCCAGAGGCACACCAATACTGAAGTTCAGCACTGCAAATATCCCAACCCCTCCTTCAGACTGCAAGCACTGTACTTCCCACCTCCAGGACTCAAGTACAGCTAACTGGTTTCCCTGAAGCCCTTCATAAAAGTTACCTTCCTCACACTCCAAGTCATGTCATAAAAACCACTTGCCGCCACCGCCACGCACCCTCCCCCACCTCTCCCTCTCTCCCCTCTCCCTCTCCTCTCCCCTCCCTCTCCCCTCCCCCTCTCCCTCTCCCTCTCCCTCCCCCTCTCCCTCTCCCTCCCTCTCCCTCTCTCTCCCTCTCCCTCTCTCTCCCTCTCTCTCTCTCTCTCTCTCTCTCACACACACACACACTTATTGGATGTCTAGGCTCCTTGCACACAAAACCCTTATCCCCCCCTCTCCAGCCTTTCCTAGGATAACCCCTACCCTGCCTTTCCTCCACTATAGATTTAAATGCCCTCCAAGTAATCATGTACCTCCTTCTAATCTCCGAGCTACAAATTCTTTGCATAACATTCACATCACACATTGCCCTCAGACACATCTCTAACTGCCTTCAGCCTCCTCCTTGCTGCAACATTCACAACCCATGCTTTACACTCATATACGAGCACAGGTACAGCCATGCTCTCATACCTTCCCCTCTCCCCTACATACTCTAACCTGAGCCTCACTTTCCTCATAAAACCTCTAATTGTTTTCAGTAACCTACTACCTATTCCGTACACTTGCAACATCTGCCAAACTGCTCGCTATCCATCCTTTTCCAAGTCCAATTATGTAACAAATACTTCTATACCCTTATCTAAATACTATTTACTTATATGCTTCAATGTAAACACTTAAGTTTATACATTCCCTACCCTTCCTTAAGCCTCCTTGTTCATCTGTGAGCCTTCTCTCAGTCTCAGCCTTAATTCTTTCAATAATAACTACCGTACACCTTCCCAGACATACTCAACAGACTTATTTCCCTGTAATTCTTGCACTCTTATTATTATATCCATTATAGGAAAGTGCTAAACCTGAATGTGTCAAACAATGCTTGGATAATGAGAGCTAATGAGATTTAATCTGAGGCAAAGAAACGGAGCATCTGGTACTCTGACCATCCATGCATATTTTATTTTTTCATACACATGTAATCCACATGTTTTTCTTCACACTTCATCTCTTGTATCATCTCTAAGGAATTATCAATACAGTGGTCTCCTGAGTTATAATATTAACCCTAACAGGGTCACTACCCCTGCTCTCAAACTTGTTCTCGGGGTTGCAAAAAAAATCATGAAATGGGAGAATCTTTTTCTGAAGGTAATAAAACAAAAAGTACAAGATTTGATGGAAAACTGACGAAATTATGCTTTCATGAATTTAGCTGTCAGGAATATTTACGCATTGGTGATTTTGTCCGCTTTGAGTCAGATTTTAGGCCAGTTTCATTTTTGCATTTGACCAAATTCTTAGCTATTTCTCTAGTATGACTTCCATTCTATCAACTAAGTACAAGAAACTGCCCATTCAACTATTTAAACTATCCAATAAAGTGATCAAAAATTGGTAATTTGGCCAATTTCACACAAAATTCATGAAATGCCACTTTCAAAATAGGGTTCAGAATAAACAATGCAGACATTCCTGGCACTAAAATAACATTTTCTCTGTTCATTAGTCACATCTCCAGGCCTCTCTTATTTTACCGCTTGCTTTCCATTTTGAATTTTTATTCATGCAAAACATAGAAGATTTACTGTTATGCAGACTGCTGCATTATTGTAATATTTATATAAATAATTCTCCATGGGGAAGTGGAACAGAATTCTTCCTCCATAAGCTATGCGTGTTGTAAGAGGCGACTAAAATGCCAGGAGCAAGGGGCTAGTAACCCCTTCTCCTGTATAAATTACTAAATTTAAAAAGAGAAACTTTTGTTTTTCTTTTTGAGCCACCCTGCCTTGGTGGGATATGGCCGGTTTGTTGAAAAAAACAAAAATTATATAAATAATGTCAGTGCATTCCTAAATGAGTATCAGACTAGCCAGCTGGATGTGTACTGGACAAGTGATGTTATTTGTGTACTCTGGAATACCGGCAAAAATCGAACATTTCCACTAGGAGTTCAATTTCAAGCTACTTTCAGTCCCGAAACCAATCAAAACCATCTCTATTTCTGTAATATACAATGGAACCTTGGCTTTTGTGAATAATTCATTCCAGAAATCTGACGAAAACCGAACTGTACGAAAATTGAAGCAATATTTCCCATAAGAAATACATGTAATGTAAATCCAATTACAGTGGATCCTTGGATATCGGCGGTTCCTGTTATCGACCAACTCAATCATTGGTGGGTTATTCAGTGCCCGGTGATCGGCCGTTATTTTGGTGATCGGCCGTTATTTCGGTGATCGGCCGGCTGGGGCCTACTGCACATCAGTCTGGCTTTGTCTCTTGGTGTGTGAGGAACCTTCTATTCATACATCCAAACATTTCACTTGTTTTCCATTGTTTTTAGTGTTTTTTTTTTTTTTTGCAGTGCATCTGTGAAATAAGTAACCATGGCTCCAAAGAAAGTTCCTTGTAAAGTTCCTGTGGTAAAGAAAGTGAGAAACACCATGGAATTTAAGCGTGAAGTGGTTGATAAGTATGAGAGAGGTATGATGATGATGGAACTTGCCAAGATGTACAGGAAAAACAAATCGACTTATAACATCCATCCTGGCAAAGAAAGAACAAATCAAGGATGCTAATGTTGCAAAAGGAGTAACTTTTATAACGAAACAAAGATCACCGATAATGGAACAGATGGAAAAGTTGTTATTGTGGATTAAGGAAAAAGAATTAGTGGGAGATAGTATTGTGGAGTCGATTATTTGTGAGAAGGCAAAGCAGTTACATGATGATCTTCTACAGAAAACTCCTGGAACAAGTGCTGCTGGTAGTGAATTTAGGGTCAGCAACGGGTGGTTTGAGAGATTTAAGAAACGTAGTGGCATACACAGTGTTGTAAGCCATGGAGAGGCTCCAAGTTCTGACAAAAAAGCAGCTGAAAAGTACGTACAGGAGTTCAAGGACTATGTAAAGGCTGAACAATTAAAACCTCAACAAGTGTTCAATTGTGACGAAACAGGCATGTTTTGGAAGAAAATGCCAAACAGGACTTACATCATGCAGGAGGAAAAGGCACTGTCAGGACACAAGCCTATGAAAGACAGGCTTACTCTTTTGATGTGTGGTAATACTAGTGGGGATTTTAAAGTGAAGCCTTTACTTGTGTGTCACTCAGAAAATCCCAGAGTGTTCAAGAAAAGCAATGTCATTAAGAATAGATTGTGTGTGATGTGAAAAGCTAATCAAAAGGCATGGGTCACAAGGCAAATTTTCAAAGAGTGGGTTAATGATGTGTTTGGCCCAAGTGTGAAAAAAATACCTGCTGGAAAAGAAATTGCCACTCAAGTGCCTCCTGGTACTGGACAATGCTTCTGCACATCTTCCAGACTCGGAAGACTAATTGTTTAGGGACTTCAGCTTTATAACAGTGAAGTTCTTTCCTCCTAACACCACTCCTCTCCTCCAGCCCATGGATCAGCAGGTCATTTCTAACTTCAAAAAACTCTACACAAAAGCAGTGTTTGAAGAGTGCTTTGAAGTGACCTCTGATGCTCAGTTGACCCTAAGACAGTTCTGGAAAGATCACTTCACTATCCTCAATTGCATAAGCCTTATAGGTAAGGCTTGGAAGGGAGTGACTTCCAGGACTTTGAACTCTGCTTGGAGAAAATTGTGGCCAGGTTGTGTCCAAGAGAGGGATTTTGAAGGGTTTGAGACTGACCCTGACCCTGACCATGAACCTGTGGACTCTATTGTGGCACTGGGGAAGTCCCTGGGGTTGGAGGCAAGTGGCGAGGATGTGGAAGAGTTGGTGGAGGACCACAGGGAAGAGCTTCAACTCGAACAGCAACATATTGCAGCTGAGGAATTTGCTTCAGAGGAGGAAGCAGAGGAAGTGAAGGAGGTACCGTCTTCAGAGATTAAAGAGGTGTGTGCAATGTGGATTAGGATGCAAGCTTTTGTAGAGAAACACCACCTGACCAAGCTGAAACAAGCCATATCTGCAACATGTTCAGTGACAAAACCCTGTCCCATTTCAGGGAAATCTTAACCCTTAAACTGTCCAAACATAGATCTACGTTTTTTCAGCATTTGAAAGTATGTAAAAAAATGTAGATCTTTTTTTTTTTTTTTTTTACATTTGAAAACATGTAAAAAAAACTTTGATCTACTTTTTTTTTGTTATATTTGAAAATATGTAAAAAACGTAGATCTACTTTTGGAGCACTACGCACGTGAACGTAAATCTGTTTGGACAGTTTAAGGGTTAAAGAGATGCCAGAAACAGAGCATTCTTGACAGTTATTTTGTGCGACAGGGGTCCAGTGACTCTCAAGCTGGTCCTAGTGGCCTTAAAAGACAAAGAAGGGAAGTAACCCCCAGAGAAGGCTTTGGTACCTGAAGTCTTTATGGAGGGGGTTCCCCTTCCAAACACTAACTCCTCCCTCTTTCCTCCTCCCTATTTTCCAGAAGCCACCATTAGCCTTCAATAAAGGTATGTAATACTTGTATAACTGTTAAAAAAAATATTTTTTTGTGTGAATATTTTTGTCTGGAAGGGATTAATTGTATTTCCATTAATTTTTATGGGAAATATTAATTCGGTTTTCGGCCATTTCGGTCTTACACCAAGCTTCTGGAACAATTACGGCCGATAACCGAGGGTCCACTGTAATCCATTCCAGACACTCAAAAGTATTAACAGAAAATACATTTTATAGACAATACAGAAATAAAACAATGAGAAATAAATATAAATGACTAATGAAATGGATAAATTAACATTTATCATCACTTGTACCTTTACCGAAGACCCTTGTTGGCATATGGAAGATGGCGAGGAGGGGAGAGGGAGGAGGAGAGGTTATTAGTTGGAAGGGGAATCCCCCTCCATAAGGACGTCAGGTATCAAGGCCCTATCTGGAGTTACTTCCCTTCTTTATCTTTTACTGGCACTGGACCCCCTGTCACACAAAAAATCTGTCCAGAGAGGTCTGTTTTTGGCATCTCTAAGATTTGCCTAAAATGGGACAAGGTATTGTCATTGACTCACGAAATCGTAATGACACGATTGCAACCAAACCATACCACGGGCAGGGATAGAACCCGCGATCATAGAGTCTCAAAACTCCAGACCGTTGCGTTAGCCACTGGACCAGCTAGCCACAATAAGATTCGTCCAACTAGGTATATTTCTACACCATAGGAAGGTTAGCATAGGCACCACTGTGACCACAAATGCAAGTTTTTACAGACGAATCTCCAGCTAGCATGGCCGTGACAAACTCTAGCTCAAGTCCCCTCAAAGCCGTCAACATGACGTGTCATTACGATTTCATGAGTCATGTTGACGGCTTTGAGGGGACTTGAGCTAGAGTTTGTCACGGCCACGCTAGCTGGAGATTCGTCTGTAAAAACTTGCATTTGTGGTCACAATGGTGCCTATGCTAACCTTCCTATGGTGTAGAAATATACCTAGTTGGACAAATCTTATTGTGGCTAGCTGGTCCAGTAGCTAATGCGACGGTCTGGAGTTTTGAGACTCTCTGATCGCGGGTTCTATCCCCACCCGTGGTGTGGTTTTATTATCATTGAATATGTTGCAGACATGGCTTGCAACAGCTTTGTTAAGGTGATATTTCTCCACAAAACTTTGCAACTCATTCCACTTTGCACACATGTCCTTAATCACTGAAGACACATTCTCCCCTCTCTCTTCCTCCTCCTCTGAAGCAATTTCCTCTGCTGCAGTCTGTTGCTGTTCCAGTTGAAGGTCTTGCAGCTCTTCCCTGTGGTCATCCACCAACTCTTCCACATCCTAGCTACTCACATTCCCAAAGACACAACAGATTCCGCAATAGGTGTAGGGCCGTCAGGGTTAGCCTCATACCTGGGGTAATGCACACTTCAATGATAAACAAAGCCAGACTGAGTCAGAATGCATGTGATGCTTCGTGTGGGTGCGGGCAGGTGGACGTGTTTGGTATGGTAGACCACTGTCAACTCAACAAAAACCAAGCGAATGTACGAAAACTGGGACAAAAATTCAATGAGAAAGTCCCTGAAAACCGAATTCGACAAAACCCAGGGCAAATCGCCATTTTAAACTAAAAACACTGTTGCAGTTTTTTCTCATTATGCACTGCATGCTGCAGGATTTTTTTATATGGTGCACAATTACCGCACAGACCCATTCTCTCATATCTAGGCCAAAATTTACCACTTACAGCTTATCTGAGTGATCTGAGCTCATGGCGTTGTACCATGCGAATGACACCGGCTTCAAAACCCTGATACAATGGGACCGACCCCAAAAGTGTTAATAATAATAACAAGAATAATACATGTAGTAATCTTTATTTCTACATGTACAAGGTATACATCCATGGCATACCACTACACAAAAAGCCCCTTGTTATGCAGAGCATTTCCGGCAAATTAGGTCAATTTTGTCCCAAGACGTGACCCACACCAGTCGACTAACATCCAAGTACCCACTTTACTGATGAACACTGGACAGCAGGTATCCTAAGGAAACACGTCCTTAAGATACCTGCTATACCCAGTACAGGTGGTATAGCAAGTATCCTAAGGAAACACGTCCTTAGGATACCTGCTATACCACCTGTACTGGGGATTGATCCCTGGACCAGTGTGTGAGTTGAGTGCACTAGTGATCGAGCTATTCATTTCAGTACCCTGAAAGTGCAACTTTTATTGTACCTTGAACTTGCATGCTCACAGATATAACTTGCAGGCACTGTATTTGCCCTCATTTGCTTCTCTTATCCACAGTAACAATCTTCCAATCTCTATGATAATTTCTCTGAGTAAGGTTCAGTCAAGGTCTTGGAATGTATTACTGTGTTTTATATGTTAAATTGGGTTTACTTTATGAAATTCTCATTTATATACCAAGGGCTAGGAAACCATCTGTCACAAACCAAGGAACATCTTTGCAGCAAACTTAAAATATATATCTTACCTTATAAAACTTATTCACATCGAAGGTTTTTCCCATATGTAGAATTTCTAACACAATTCCTGCCTCCTTCAAATCCTTAGCTTTTTGTCGGGCTTGCCTTTGTTTCTGATCATCAGCAGCGTGAGGATTATCTCGGCAAGTGAAAAGCAAGATGCTCTGCCCAGCCAGGCGACTTGTGCTGAAAAGGAAAGGCACAATTTTTTCTCATGGTGCTAAACAGTAAGAGACAATCAGCAACTTACTGTAATTTACTCACAGTTTGCATTATAAGAATTTTATCATGGATGTTGCCTTTTACATTCATGACTCATTATAACATAGTATATACTTACAAAGGGGAAACTCGAAAAAATTATATACAGTGGTACCCAGAGTTTCGGCCATACAGTGGACCCCCGCTTAACGATCACCTCCCAATGCGACCAATTATGTAAGTGTATTTATGTAAGTGCGTTTGTACGTGTATGTTTGGGGGTCTGAAATGGACTAATCTACTTCACAATATTCCTTATGGGAACAAATTCGGTCAGTACTGGCACCTGAACATACTTCTGGAATGAAAAAATATCGTTAACCGGGGGTCCACTGTAATTCGTTCCAGAAGGCTGTTCGAGTGCCGTTACCAAATTTGTTCCCATAAGGAATAAAGTAAATTAGATTAGTCCATTTCAGACCCCCAAAAGTACACTTACAAAAGCACTTACAATAATGCACTTACATAATTGTTCGAGCTGGGAGCTGTACAAAATTTGGGGTACCACTGTACTGTGACGATCAGTTTCCAGTAATGTGCTTTCCATTAAACACACCTCTATAGTAGTATACCACTCATATTGGTACTAGATTTGTACAAGAATGTATTGGTAACTTTCCAAGAATAAGGGAAAAAGTACATACGTATACAATATATAGTTTCTATTAAGTGCTTCTCTATACTAGTACTACAGCACTCTCACATTTCCATAAATTTCATGTATAAATATCAGACTATGCTCACTTTCTGCTCATCTCTGCTCTTCTTTCTTTCATTCCACTGTTCATCATCCTGCTTTTATTTCTCTTAATACAATAATCATTATGTTTCATATTATTTATTATTATTATTACATTCATGGAAAATTACTAGACCCATAAGTCATGCAGCACCTGGGAAATGGAAGGTAATTCCATAGAACAAGAGCCCTTCACTTCCATTAAAACAATCCCCACTTTCCCATAAAGAAATTATTTTTCACTGCTTACTTACCAAAAAATATATTAACCCTTTGACTGTTTACGCCGTATATACAGTATACGTCTTACGCACCACTGTTTCTGACGTATTTATGCGCATAAATTCTAGCGGCTTCAAATCAAGCAGGAGCAAGTTGGTAGGCCCACATGTGAGAGAATGGGTCTGTGTGGTCAGTGTGCACCACATAAAAAAAATCCTGCAGCATGCAGTGCATGAGAAAAAAAAACTGACCGTTTTTTTGGATTAAAACGCCGACTTTGAGGTGTATTTTCGTATAGTATTTATCATTGTATTCTAGTTTTCATGGTCTCAGGTGATAAAATGGAAAACATATTACAGAAATAGAGATGATTTTCATTACTTTCACAATGAAAACGAACTTGAAATTGAGCTCAAAGTAGCGGAAATGTTCGATTTTTACCAATGTTCAGGAGTAAGCAAATTACACGACACATCCAATACACGTCAACTGGGGAGTCTAATATTCTTTCACTAGTGCACTGATATTATACCATTTTTACAATAATGCAGTAGTCTGCATAACAGTAAATTTTGTATTTTTTTGTATGAATAAAAAATAAAAACAGAAAGCAATAGTAATATAAAAGGGGCCTAGAGACGTGACTAATGAACAGAGGATATGTTATTTTAGTGCCAAGAATGTCTACATTGTTTGTTCTGGACCCTATTTTGAAATTGGCATTTTTTTTAATTTGTGTGAAATTGGCCAAATTGCCAATTTCTGACCACTTTATTGGGTAGTTCAAATCAGCAAATGGGCGGTTTCTTGAACTCAACTGATAGAAAAAATGGAGTTCTAAAGAAATAGCTATGAGTTTGGTCAACTGGAACAACGGAATTGGCCAAAAACACGGCTCAAAGTCAGCGAAATTGCCAATGCATATATGTCACCGAGACTGCTAACTTTGCAGGAGCATAATTCCATGAGTTTTCAACCAACTTTCGTACTTTTGGTGTTATTTACCATCGGGAAAAGATTCTCTATCATTTCATAAGAAAAAATCATTATTTTTTTCCAAAACTTTTGTGACAGAATGAAAGTTTCAGAAAGGGGCTTGCGACAGTCAAAGGGTTAAGGAGCAACATTAGTAAGTCAAGAATGAGTTAAAGAAAACAAAAAAGGAAGCTCAAACTAATCTTTTTGAAACTGCGTACTCATACAGTATGATTTAATTGAAATTTTCTGAATTCTAAAAAGAGAACTACAGCCTCTCCTCATTTAGCAACGCACTCGTTTACCGATGACTCAGATTTACGACGGGCATTCTGACCAGTATGCATACCTAAATATTAGAGTTGATTTCCTCTATTCTGTTTATTACAATATACAGTAGACTACTGTATAAACATTTAAAAATATACTAAATATGTTATAAATGGTGCAAAGGCGACATTAACCCTTTCAGGGTCCAGAGGCCAAATTTCAAAGTGCGCACCAGTGTCCAAGAATTTTCAAAAAATAATTTTGTTATTTTTTCTTATGAAATGGTAGAGAATCTTTTTCTGAAGGTAATAAAACAAAAAAAGTACGAAATCTGATGGACAACTGACGAAATTATGCTCTCACGAATTTTGATGTGTCAGTGATATTTACGCATCGGCAATTTTGCAGACTTTGACTCCCATTTTAGGCCAATTATATTACTCCAGTCGACCACTTCTATTCTACCAATTGAGCACAAGAAATCGCCAAGTCAACTATTTCAACTACAAAATAAAGCGACTGGAAATTGGTAATTTGGCCAATTTAATGCAAAGTTCAAAATATTCTAATTTCAAAATAGGGTCCAGAATAAACAATGCAGGCATTCCTGGAACTAAACTAACATTTCCTCTGTTCATCAGTCACGTTTTCAGGCTTTACAAATTAATTCCATTTTGATTTTTTATTCACATAATGAATTTTTATTCAAATCAAAAAATAGAAGATTTACTGTTATGCAATACTGTAATAATTGTATAAATAATATCACCACATTTGTGAACATATACATATTAGATCCACCAGCTGGCGTGTATTAGATGTGTGGGATCATTTGTTTACTCTTGAACAACAGCAAAAATTTAAAATTTCTGCTATTTTGAGCTCAGTTTCAACCCATGTCCATTGCTAAAACCAATCAAAACCATCTCTATTTCTGTAATATATCTTCCATTCTATCCAATGAGACCAAGAAATCATAAATACAACTATAAAAAACATACGAAAAAACACTGCAAATTCGCTGTTTTAATCGAAAATCACGGTCTCGGTTTTTTTCCTCACATTATGCGCTGTGTGCTGCAGGATTTGTTTTATGTGGTGCACACATACCACATAGATGTATTCTTTCATATCTAGGCCCAGATTTACTGCTCACAACTTATCAGAGTGAGCTGAGCTCATGGCATTGATCTACAGTTTGGACCCTCAATTTATAGCCGTAGATCTACGGCACGGACCCTCAAAGGGTTAAAACAATATCAAAGATGGTCGACACAAACCCACTACCATTATAGCATGCTCCTCACTTAGCAACGAATTCGTTTACCGACGTGGTCGTAGGAACACAACTCCATCGTTCAGTGAGGAGAGGCTATAAATTCATTGAAATTTAGTTCACAGTTAACAGCACAAATTCACTCGATTCCTTATTTGCAGAATTTGATTATACAATATTTTTTACTGACGGGTAGTTCACAAATGACTCAATCGGCCATGGATTTCATGTAAGTACCTGTGCTCAATGGCTTTCCCATGACCAAATCTCTTTTCATTTTGGTCATTTTTCCTTAACGAAGGAGTTCCATTCCTAAGAGCATGTCGGTAAACAAATTCGTTGCTAAGTAAAGAGCATACTATATTGGTACCGGGTTTGTGTCAACTATCTTTGATATTGTTTTAATGTCACCTATGGACCATTTATAAAGTCTGTAGTATATTTTTATATGTTTATACAGTTGTGTACTGTATATTGAAGTGAACAGAATAGAGGAAATCAGTTCTAATATATATTATCTAGGTATGTATACTGGTCAGAGAGCCCATCGTAAGTCCGAGTCATCAGTAAACGAGTACGTCGCTAAGTGAGGAGAGGATGTATTAATCATTTATTTGTATACCGGGTACTAGAACACGAGACCAAACTGTGTATGATGTACTTGTATATGCAATTTTCCTGCCTTCAAGATGCTGCCTGCCATTACTGGACATCTCAACTCAACTGTTTGGGTTGCCTACCACCTCCTCATGACTGGGAAAATAATGTATGATCAGGTGGGTCCACATAGTGCATCATGAGTAATGCTAGCTCAGTAGAACATGAAAAATGCAACCAGGACTTGCTTTGCCACCACCAGGGTGTGGAACTGACAAGATGATGTCGCATTTGTCCAAAATTTATTACAGTTTCAGGATACTAAGAGTGGGATCTAGCCAAAAAGTACACTTGTGTAGATTTAACCTAGAATAACCCCCCCCCCCCCCAAAAAAAAAAGCCAAACAATGCTTAATAAAAACAAACAACTTTATTCCTATAAAGCGCAGTAAAGTACAGTGGACCCCCGCATAACGATTACCTCCGAATGTGACCAATTATGTAAGTGTATTTATGTAAGTGCGTTTGTACGTGTATGTTTGGGGGTCTGAAATGGACTAATCTACTTCACAATATTTCTTATGGGAACAAATTTGGTCAGTACTGGCACCTGAACATACTTCTGGAGTGAAAAAATATCGTTAACCGGGGGTCCACTGTATACAATTGACAGTTGAGTAATTGACATGTCTACCCAACAGTCTTTTATCTACCAATACATAGTCCAACAAACTACTACATTACACCCTACATCATATCTTGTATACTTAATTTATCCTCTTTTTCTTAAATATGTATTACCTCCAACCAAACCCCTTTCTATACAAAGTTCAATCGAAGGGCCCC